GAGCCAGCCTCCCAATCGGCCATTAGCCAGGAATGTAGCCAGGCTGGCTAAATCCTTTGTGAGGCTAATTGCCTCTTCCCTTCTCCCTTCCCTGCTTGGTGCTCCCGTTTCTCTTACAGGGAAGCAGGGAAGGAAAAATTTCTCTCTCAAATTATAACCTATAACATTCTGTTTACTTAATCTTAAAGTTCTTCAAAAATACTTACCCATTCCTATAATAAAAGAAACTTGTGTAAAATACTGTTTGCTGATTTCCCCCTTTCCAAGTATTTTCTCCTAGTATTAACATAGCCATGAATAGTTACAGTAGTTATTGTGTTGCACCCTTTCTTCAATAGATTTTTTTTACCTCAAGCTCTTGTTTGTATTTTTAGTGAGGAGGAAGTATTTATAATTTAGTGATTCCTGCAAAAAAAGACAAATGTTCTTGATTACTGGAGGAGAGATTACGGTCCCTTTTCTTACCCTGTCCTTCTTCTCCTACATCTTTCTTTACTGTGCAGTCACAGTTAACAATCAGCATCTTGCCCACATGTCAAACAGCTTTTCACTCACAGTTTTTGTGGCTGTGGGCAGATAAATAATTTAGCTTAATTTTCTAAGAAAATAAGTCATGGACACATTTATTTCCCTGTCTCCATACCCTTTAACTTTTACATTATTTGATAACTTGAGCCAAATTTTGACAGATGACCCAAAGAACTTCAACATTAGGTCTTTCAGTGTTAAATTCTTGTGGAAACAGACAGCAGGAGAGAGGCTTATGTTCATGCCTCACCCCCCTTAATGCATGGGTGGAAGATACAATGGTACCACAACCACTGTTCCTTTTTCTGCTCTTTTAGGCAGTCAGCTGGTCAGAAAGTGGTTGCTTACAGTGATCAGTAAAATTGGACTGCCTTTTGCTTTGATATTAGTAGGGATTTGAGGAAAGCATGAGGAAGGTGTAGGGATATTGAAGGGAGGACCTGGAGAAGGTGAACGGTTTGAGGGGCTTAGACCTAAATTCATAGGGGAAGCAACCTTCATTCATACTAATACATGTGGAAAGTTCTTGCTGTGCTGCAAGGTCTGATCCATTCTCTGGTTTTACATTGAGTTAAAAGGTCATTTGTGTGTCCATGAATGTGTTCTTGTAGAAATAGGCAGGAGGTAACTGAGGACCTATAGTGGCAGTTTCAAGTAGAATAAGCTGATTTTATAAAGAGAGCTTTTTAGAACAGTGAATTGTAAAAGGCCATCCTTGCACTTTAAAGATGCTGCAGTACTGCTTTTTGATGACTGAAAAAATCATAAGACAGGTTTAGGTGCAGCTGGAAGAGCACATGCCTCTACTTTTTGCTGCTGGAATTTACTGGACTGTAAGCCATCAGTTACTGTGTACCCTACATTGAGGGTTTGTGTATCTCTTCTCTGCAGAGAATGAATGCCATTGATGTAGCCAGGTCAAGCTAAAAATTACACTCTTACTGTTCTAGCAGAACAGTATATTGTGGGAGGCAGTGGAGCAAGTAAAGGCGTGGTGCTTCAACCACTGGATCTACAAGAGTGAGTGTGTGAGCTGGATAAGCTGAGATGGCTCTAAGCATCACAATTTTTCATGATAGTCCTTATCCCTTTGAAGGATGGCCCTCTTTGTGTTTCTGTTAAGTCTCTGTAACTCCTTTTGAAGGGCTTCTATAGATAAATGAGGATGTTTCTGGGTCCTTCCAACCCACTTCTTTGAGTATTTGTTCATGCTTGTGCAGCTGATGCTGTTTCTTAACATGATTTGGGTATCTGAGGTGTATGAAGTTCATACATGAGTTCAGGAGCTCTTGTTTTACTCTGGGTTATGAAAACTTTGGTAAAAATTGCACAAAATGAGTCTAAAATACATCAGTGTTGTCTAAAGAATGATTGGAAAAGTGGATGACTCTTTTTTGCAGTTGCACAGTAAACTTCTGGAAACAGAACGCCAGTTAGGGGAAGCGCATGGGCGGCTCAAGGAGCAGAGGCAGCTGTCCAGTGAGAAACTGATGGACAAAGAGCAGCAGGTGGCTGATCTACAATTAAAACTTTCTCGTGCTGAAGAGCAGGTAAGGTTTTTTATGCAGATTCTATATTTGTTCTGGTTCTGGTAGTATGTCTGTACACACAGTTGTGGTGATGTTGCAGTTTATAAAGTTTGTCCTTGTGGGAATTTCATTTGACTAAATCTGCCAAAGTCTTGTGGTAAAATTATCAAAACATGCTTAAATGCCGCTTGTCTTTACAGATTTTTGTAAGGCTAAATGCTCATCAGATGCATATGTGTTTGTGGTGCTTAACAAAAGAACAAAAGTTGTGCACTTTGCACTCCTGGGCTTTGTCTACGGATGTTGTGAAAAAAATACTTAGGTGCACCTAAGCCCCTATGGGTAGCGCTGTGTGTACATATTTTTGTGTGATAAAGCCCTACATGAAAAAAACTGAACATGGCACTGCAGGTCATTGATAGTTAATAATCTATGTGGAGTGGATGGGCAGAAAATACTTGTTTTATTAATTTTTATTTGTTTTAATGAGTATCTTGTATATGTTGCTGATTTTCTGCTGGCTGTATGGGGATTGGCCAAATATCTGAATGGTGTGTTTTCAAAGCTTTAAAGCTTTTTTGTTGCTAATTTGCAAAGCCTTGACTAGTGTAGAAGTGGAGAGACTGCTAAACTGAAGTTGCTACTAAAACTGTAAATAATAGTAATAATAATGTTGTTTTACAGGTATCTATATTATCAGTCATGTTACATCTTAACAACTAGTGGAAAAAACATACTAAAAATTTCTTATGTTTTAGATTTTATGGGAGCTAAATTACATCTGATAGTTGTTTTATAGTTCTTGCTTGTGATATAGAATCTCACCTATTAATAGTAATGAGCACTTTGATTAGATTTTGATTGTTTAACTAGCATTACAGATTATTTTTATACATATTTTCAAATATCCATGTTTACACTAAAATCTTCTAGAATTAGAATGAACATTGAGTAATACTGGCATACTGAATGGTGCTTTTTCCACTCATTAGTCTGGTTTGTTTGGTATTTGGTTTTGGTTTTTTTTAGCTAAAGGAAAAAGCAGCAAATTCCACAGAATTGCAACATCAATTAGATAAGGCAAAACAACAGCACCAGGAACAGCAGACACTTCAGCAAAATACAACAGCAAAACTACGAGAAGCCCAGGTAACATAATTATGTATCCTCATGTGAAAGTGTATTTCAGGATTTCATTATTCTAAATGCTTTTTCTCTGTAAATGTGATTTGCATGAATTATGCTAGTTTCAATAATTTAACTTATAAATTTAGAACAGAACATACAGAAAGTGTTTAATAAATTTAGCCAACATTTTATGCATTAGAACTAACTTTTAAGGTCCTTATAATTAAGGAGGTTATTACATGATTTTCTAGAATGATCTGGAGCAAGTACTACGACAAATTGGAGATAAGGACCAAAAAATTCAAAATCTTGAGGCTTTGCTTCAAAAAAGCAAGGAAAACATCTCTCTGCTAGAAAAGGAAAGAGAGGACTTATATGCAAAAATTCAAGCTGGTGAAGGAGAAACTGCAGTTCTTAACCAGCTACAAGAGAAAAACCATGCGTTGCAAATACAGGTAAGAACTTCAAGATCTGTTTCTTTTCTTTCATTCTCATTATTGAGTCTTATTTCCTTTTTTTCCCTATGTCATCAGATATGACACTAATCTTTTCTATACTGTTCTGCTTCTTTAATACTTACTTTAAAGATCTTACTGTAAATTTCACAGGACTTGTGTTTTGGTGACTTCCTTGCTATCAACATAGGGAAAGGAATTCCTAGATGTTTACTATGTACATATGCTAGTAATATGCAATGTATATACAGAAGTTATTGGATATATATATATACACATAAGTTTGTTTCACTTATTTTAAAAAGAGGTTTAGTTCCTGCGTTCAACACCAAAATTCAGTTTAGCTTGCATCTGTTGTCTCCTTAGTATCTTGTTTTTGTTGCAGTAAGGCCAAATCGACAATTCCCTTTTGCTTCTATTTTCAGCTGGTAACCTATTTAAACTCTAATATAGCTTTTCTGTAATAGTTCAGGAAAAGAAATGTGATAGCATTGAGTCTCCAGAGCCATAATAAGATGGACTAAAATTAATTTTTTACTTCTTTGGACATACTGTTCCAGCCTTCTCACATTTTTTTTCACTGCAGGTAACTCAGCTGACAGAGAAGCTGAAGAATCAATCGGAAAGTCATAAACAAGCCCAAGAGAATTTGCATGAACAAGTGCAGGAACAAAAGGCACACCTAAGAGCTGCTCAAGATCGTGTGCTTTCTCTGGAAACAAACATCAGTGAACTAACCAGTCAGCTAAATGAGAGTAGAGAGAAAGTGTCACAACTTGATGTGCAGGTAATGGAACTCTCTATTTTCTGGTGATATAAAATCCTGGTTGTGATATCTGTATTCTCTCCAGAGAATGTACAAAGCCATTTGGGAAAAATTGCATTTTTCTATTAAGAGATAAATGAAGTAGAATAAGGTAGATAAAATTGAAGGAAAATGAAAGTAGAATCATAAAATTTCATAATTGAGTTGGGAAAAAATCTTTCCTCAAGCATCACTTGTATTTGTAATGTTTGGCTGTTCAAAACCCTGCTCTTACCAGTCCTGGATTCTGTGCACTAAAGTGAAAAATCTGTCAAGTCACTGAGATCTTGGGATTGCCTAAAATTTCCTATGCTGATGTCTTTTGTCAAAAACAAAACAAAAATTGTGGGCCACCTTGTTGCCAGTTTAATTTACTAAATAAGGAAACTCCCCATTATGGACTCAACATCGACTCTTCTACTACTAAGTGCTGTTTAAGCTACAAGCTGCTAATTATGTTCAGCTATTTAAAGGATAAATAAGGTTTGATCAGAAGTTCTTGCATCAGTACACCTGGAGCAGCTACTGTTGTTGTTGGATTGATATACTACAGTGTTACTCAGTTTCTGAACAGACCTAGAAACTTCTGATGAAGCTTTGTGATGTTCTGATGGGCTTCAGTACGCTATCTGAATTGTTTTTTCATTACATTCACATTAGAGCTAGAACTGAATTATCTGTGGACCATTGCAACTCTTTTTAAGGCAATGTGAGCTTTCTTACAGTCTTCAGAGATGTAGCATTTATATTAGGGAGAAAAACAGTAAATCACAATTGCAGGTGACCCTGAATATTGCCACACTACGCCAACACCATTGATACCCACCTTCTAAATTCTGTTTGCTGGTGTTTTGAAAAGAGAAAGGTTGCTCCCTAACAGACAGGTAGGAACAGAGAGATACTATGCACATGGAAGCACATTTTAGTTGTTATTTATTCTTTTTCCTTTTAAAACTTCTGGGGGGCCTTAAATATGCATGTAGTTGGAGGTTATCAAGATATGCGTGGGTGTGAATACAGTATGTAAATCACATTGTTCCTTGTTAGTGGGAAAAATATTTTCCTAGAATTGTACATAAGTGGAACTGCTGTGTTTTGTTTTGTTCTTTTTTTTCTTTGTCTGTTTTTTTTTTGGATCAAAGTAAGAACTCACTGTGATTTAAAATCCTGATACTTATCTAAATTTCTAAAATATTTCTTCCTTTTTTTAACACTTAACACTTAACACATGAAAACTGCTGATTTTATTATTAAACTTACTGATGACTGTAAAAAAATTACAATGAGCTATGGTAAAAAAGATGTTTTAGTGAAATACAATTTGTCTTTCAGGTAAAAGCAAAGACCGAATTGCTACTTTCAGCAGAAGCATCAAAAGCTGCTCAAAGAGCGGATCTCCAGAACCATCTGGACACAGCTCAGCATGCACTGCAAGATAAGCAACAGGTTATAAGCAACATATAAAGTTTCTATGTTACCTAAAAAACTGCTTAAAAACTTAAGAATAGTCTGTTTACAAACTAAATAAACGTGAATATGCATTTGGAAATGTGAATATGCATTTGGAAAAGATCATTTAGGATATTTTAACCACATGCTATACATTCAGTTCTTTTTGCTGTAATCCAGACCAGATATATTTTGCAGTGCAAAGAATTTACTTGGGAGTCCACTTCTTGATATAGGCTTATGGTTCAGAACTTAAGCTGTCCTTAGGTATTACTGAGGTGTTACTCAGTTCTCACATGTATGATATGAAGATTGTAGAATGCACTGAGTACAATTGAAAACTCTTAACTCTTACTGCTGACTCAGATAAATTCCCAATCACATGCAGGTATTCAGAAATAATTATCTGTGTGCCAACTGACACAAAACCTCAAAAGGCTGTTGTTAAAATTACGTGTTTTAATGTGTGGTAGTGAAGTATTCCACCAGCTGTTGAATCAAATATTTGCACTGTTAGAATCAGTGTTGCTGTGATCTTCATAGAAACATCCAGCAGATGCTAATATAGCATAATTTTTTAGCATGGCAATGTAATTAATTACTGTAAACAGAAGACAACCTTTTGCAGCCATTAAATAATTAATTAATAACTAAATACATCAGCTTGGTTGGAGAGCATGTAGCTGTCATCGTAGTGGTTACTAGGTGAATGTATCCATGTCTCTTGCAGAAATTATTTGTTTTGTGTTGAACAAAATGTTTTGAAATCATCTCTGGTATGTGGAGAACTGACCGTTTCCATGTTATTGGCTTTCCTCTTCTGTGGTGCTTGATTTCATAAAAAAAAAAAAGACAGCAAAAATTTTATCTAAGGTTTTGTAATGTTATTTTCTAGTTACTGTTGTACTAACTTTAGGATCTAGTGCCTTTATTACCTACAGTTCCTCTTCCATTTACAATTTGAAACACCTTTATTAACATTTAGCCCACCGCCTGTAAACTTTGAGAGGAATATTGAAGCTTTAAAGAATTTTTTTCAGTGTAACGAAGGGAAATTGTGCATGTATTTGTTTCCTCTCTCAATTTCCTGCCCCTCAGAGTAAAAAAGATTATTTTCCTTTTTAATTTGAACACACTAGATCATTTAAAGCATATATGATGTTAGTAATTTTCTGAAGTTATTTCAAAACTTATAACCCTTGTATTTTTATTTTACTTAGGAGTTAAATAAGGTCAGCGTTCAGTTGGATCAGGTTACAGCTAAGCTGAATGACAAGCAGGAATACTGTACTCAGCTGGAAGCCAGTCTTAAAGAGTACAAAGAAAAATGCCTTTATTTAGAACAGAAAACTGAAGAGCTAGAGGGACAGCTTAAGGTTTGTATTGAACACAGTATCTGAGCTTAGAGAAACTGATCTCTGCTGTTCGGTAGCATATGATAAAAACTGTGCTCAAATTATGGGGAAGGATTATATCAATATTATATCAAAATTTTAGGTTTTCTTTCTCACTAATGTTTCCTGATTCACCATTTAATCCTGTTCTCCTCTTCTTCCATGCTAGCATATCACACTAAGAAGATAGGACTAGGACATTGCCACTATACTGTCATTTCCTTCTATGTGTGCTTCTATCAACCTCTGTGCTACCTGGAAATTTTTATGTGAGGGAACATGAATATGTCCCAGAATTAGAGTCTTCAAGTTCAAACTAACACACTTCACAAGTGGTAGCAGGGAATATGTGTCACACTGGTTAGCCCAACTTAACACTACCTATCTGGTTTAATTTATTTCTAAAGCCTTTCATTAGTCTTCTACAGAGGCTCTTTAGCAAGATTTATTTATCACTATTTTATCTCTAACTTGATCTGGAGTTTTGCACTCTCGCTCTGAAATCAGTTTTTCTTTTGCAGAACCGTTTGGCGTTTTGATATACTAGTATTTTCAGTTAAGGATATGGATTAGTCCTAATGCTTAAGAGCTTTAAAATTTGGGCTTTGACCTTTGTTCAATATTTGTTAAAAATTCTTGGTAGTCAAAATTCACAACACATAAAAGCATATGATACAGGGATCTTGGGAGCAATGCAGAACTGGTTTTTCAGTGTTGTCTGTCTGTTCTGAGGGAGATTAGTAGTCTTTATGCTCAAGACTGAGTTGGGTGTTTTTCCTAGCTTATGAGCTCTGTAGAAGAGAATGAAGATTGTTTTCCCCATAGGAAATTTCAAATCCAATGCTATTAAAAAATAAAGTTATCATGCATTTCGTTATCAGCAAAATTATTTTGTGCATCTATTTCCCCTTTTGAACACTGGGGGTTTTTTCTGCCTGCTTTCATTTGTGTTTTTATTTTTCATTCTTTTGCTAAAGTTTCACAAGTAGCCAAGAGACACAAATGCTTGGGAGGAATACAGAGCTTGCTTGCATATGATTTTATTAGGTTTCTGGTAGCTGAAGTGTGAAACTGAGCAGGGTTGTTGATGCTGTCAACAGGAATGCATTCTATGTAAATTCTTGGCATCATCACCATTCTCTGAGATTATTCCAGTTGAATGTGTGGCATTTAAAAAATTAGAAAAAAAATACAAAGCAAAAAACCCTCAGGAATTTTCTTGGAGAAACTTGACCATTTTGTTTTATGGCCACTGTGTTCAAGCAGAAGTCCCTGTAAAACAGCCAGTCTGTTGAAGAGTCTAAGCAGTGCCCGTTTGCTGAAGGCTCCTCTGTTCTTTATACTCCACATGAGTGAACAAGAACTTTTGGGAAAAAAAAACCACAAGAAAAACCTCTTCTAGGTGAGCATAGGGTTTCTTCACAGCTGTAGTTCGTGTCTTTGCTTTTTCTATGAAGAACAGCAGAGTTATGATATGTAAATCAACAGTCATTTGAAACTGCTGAAACTACTCAGTAGTGGCTGAGAACATGACCCCAAAACTGAGCACTGGGTATGACCTTTTTTTGTATAGGTGTTTTGGATAGCCTCCTTAAAGATTACAGCTTTTTATCTATTACTTTGCAGTAAAATGCTTGTTTGACCTTTAATTTAAACATGATTTCAGAATGTTTTACCAAAACAGTTCTGGAGGAGCAAGAGATTTGCAGGAACTAAATAATGAAAGATAAATAGCAAAGTGATGAAACACATAGATGATATGTGAGAATTGTGACTGCTTTCTACAATGAAGACTTTCTACAGTAAATGCTGCTCATAGAATAGATGACTTCCGCATTTAATTGCTATTCTTATTTTGTTGATTGTGTTCTGATGACTCTAACTTTTAATTTTTTTTTCTCAGAAACTTGAAGCTGACATACTTGATGCTAAAGCAAGTAAAGAACAAGCTCTTCAGGAGTTACAGCAACAGCGACAGCAATCTACAGAATTAGACCTCCGAACAGCAGAACTGAGTAAACAACTTGAATCAGCAAGAGAAGCGTATGCATTTCCTTGTTCTAGTCCTTTTCAAAGTCGGACATAAAACTAGAGTGGTTTGGACTAGAGTGGAAATTTTCTGCTTCTTTCTTGTGATTTCATAAAGTCATAGATAAGTGCTGCTCTGCTACAAGAACTGAGTTTTACCCCACCTGTTTTCTTTCACTCCATCTGCCCTGTTACCTCTGTGATTCACTACAGTTCTTCAGTTTATTCACTGTGCTTGTTGTCAGCTAAATATCTGAATCATTTCATTTAGTGAGGTCCATCTTTAAATATCCATAGCTCTGTAACATATTTCAAGTACAAATTTACAATTTCTGCATAAGCAACAAAGGGGTAGTTTCTGTTCGTTATAGTTGAGGAAGAAAGATCCATCTGAAAGCTAGTTTTTAGAGTTTCTGTCATGTCTTCACTGGAGAGACATAATGCCCATGGATGAAAAAGGTATGCTTTGAAGTAGTTGTACAGTTAATATATTAAGTAATAGAGATATTTAATGATACAAAAAAAAAGTGAAGAAGAAATTTTAAAAATATGTTTTTTCTCTTTCTATTTGCAGGATGTCTAATGCTAAATTGGATTTGCAGAAGCAATCTGAGGCCCTTGACCAAGCAAACCAGCAAATTTCAAAGCAGGAGGAAGAGAAGGCCAATCTGAAACAAAACCTTGAGAAATCAAATCAAGATACAAGTAAACAGCTTAAGGAGTTAGACTGTAAACTGCAAGCGGCTACATCAGAGCTGCAACAAGTGAAATTAGAGAAGGATACTCTGTTAAAGGATCTTACAGATACCAAAGATAAGCTCTCCAAAAGTTCTGAATCCTTCAAAAAAAGAAAGGAGGATTTAGAAAAAGAAATTAAAAAAGGAAAAGTAGCTATGGCAGAAATGGTTAGTAGATTCTTTAATTAGGCATCAAGTTTGGTGCATTTACAGTCTGATAAAATGATTTTGCTTTCTATCTGAAAATAGTGTAGATATGATGACAATGCATGGAAATTAACTACTGTAAGAAAAAAAAATGTGATTTTTAGTAGTTCATATGCATTTCCTACCTTACATTTTTGTCTGGATGTTTACAGTAGTAAACATCAGTCATAGCACATGACAAGATCCTTTCTTCCTATTACATGCCTTTAACATAGTGAAGAAACTAAATGGAGGCAAGTGGTGAAACAATTTGATGGGAAATGTCCTCCTTTAAAAAAAATATATCAGCTGTATTATAACAACACAAAGGTATAGAACCTTTGCTAAAATACCATTGGATTGAAGATGATGTTATTTTTCTGAGGCCATCTGGGTCTCCTTTTTGAAGTCTTTGTATATAGAACTTCCTGTGCACTTGTCTGGATATGCTGGAAAGCTGCTTACTGCAGGCAGAGAAGAGTAACATCATCTGAATGCCTAGATTAAGGTATTTTCAGAGTACTAGAACTATTTGAGTTTCAGAAAGATCTCACAAGTGGTGGTACAACAAGTGCTTGACCACTAGGGCAACCTATTATGGTAAAGAAAGTGAACTCTCACTAGCTTTAAAATATACCTCTTTTGCCTTGTTGGAAATATGAATGGGCACTACATAAATACATGTTTTATAGATTAGTTGTTCCAACACCCTTGCCTCAGACATGGTAGGGGTGTCCTTCCCATACCCTTCTCATCTTAAATGTCACCATTCCCGAGAACCCATTCAGAGCTGCTTTTATTCTTGTCTAAAAAAAAAAATCTGCTCCTAGTTAAAAATAAAATTTTTTCTGTTACTCATTTACCTTTTAAAGATAAGTTTGCTTTTCTTAGTTACTGCTGTTTAAATATTTGTTTCTCCTAAAAACTCAAAGGATTTTCTCCCCAGTTGAGACTTAAAGTTAGGAGTCCAGATTCTGTTTCTAATTCTGTAGTCTCTTAAAGGCTTGCCACTGTTTTTTATGTGTAGTATTCAGGCTTAACATGTAGTTGTATTTGCATGCAAGTCCTGCAAATGTACTTTCTTGTGAGTTTTAGAACATGAAGGAATTTTGGATCCTGAGGAAAGTGATGAGCCTACTGCTTTCCATAAGAAGGAGAGGGGCTGCCAACCACAGCTTCAAACAGGGAGACTGTCTCTAATCAGAAAAACTCTTTGCACATGTCTGTTTTTGTTAGTATAGGGGATCAGCTGTGTTCAGCTTAGATTTGCCACTTAAGGTTTTGAGAAGTTTTGAATTGAAAGTATGTCTGCAGCTGAGAAGGATTTTCCACTGAAAATGAAAGCATTATTTTTCAAGGCTTTGTAGATCCTGCAAAAATACCTGGTACTTGGTCTTAGAAGCTAACAGGAATATTTCCTTGTCTTATACTTTTTAGGAAAAATCTTGCCAAGAATTAAAACACCAGCTCCAGATACAAACAGAGTCTGTAGCTAAAGAGAGGAATGAATTGAAAAACTCACTGGAAAAAAAGGAGGGGGTAAGCTGTCCACTTAGTTTCCAAAATCTACAAACCAGTGTAATAAATGTTTAAAAGATGCATTTTCAGTTTCACATGGTGGGAATGATGAGAACTAAAGAAGCTTCAGTTCTCAGATTGTAACCTACCTGGGGTGTTGAAATAAGGTGATAGTAAAAATTTAGTAGATGGTAATATAAAGCTTTAAAATACAGGTTTTAGTCTTAGTTTTCTGGGCCCCACGTACCTTAGCGGGGGATTTTAGCTCTTCATGTTTTTTCATTAGTGAAACAGTTACTTGATATTACCGTGTCACCATTTTTTGTTTTTACTTCCATAAAATAAAAGTTTTTATCTCATATCCTTAGATTTGTTTTATTCTCAGGCTTATTCAGTATGTTCTCTGTGTGGTTGACAGGACATTTTTAGATATCCTTCAAGAATTGAATTGCTTTTTCAAACTTGTGTAAGTCACTTGCTCATGACTACATAGGAACCAAATGTACTTCTTTTTTGAAGATGAGCATTCAGACTGCAAAATCATGTAGTCCAACTGGCAGCCTGAAGGACAAGTCTGCTTTCATGGATATCTTTACCCAAGCTGTCATCTGTTCCCTGAAGGAATAAGAAAAGATATGATCAGTGGACATAGTTTGGTGGACTGTGATGGGCTCTTACTGTCTGAAAGAGGGTTTAGGTGTGTGCTGGTTTGATGGTAATTGCTCTGTGACTACTGCTCCTATTCCCCTGGCTCCTCTCTGGTTCAACAAAAGCACCATGGTACTCTGTGTAAAGTGCAGGAGGATGACATTGGTATGTGGTGCACAGTTGGCAGCAGGAGAACCCAAAGCACTGCTGGTGTGAGAAAAGTTGCCTCATCTTAATTTAGAATGGTTAAAAAAGACTGCTGTTGATCTATGAGTAATAAATAGGGAATAACAGATTATTTTAATGCGTTATGGTAGTTCTTAAAATCTTCTTGCCAGTGTTCAACTGTGTACCTCTTAAGGAGCAGTGGCACTGTGGGATGATCTGGTTCAGTGTACAGCATGTACAAATAGTCATTTAAATAGAAATTACATACAGTTATTTAATATTTTTTGAATATAGATTTCTAAGCAGTTGTCAATAGACCTTGATTCAGCACGAGCACAACTACTGGAAATCCAAGGTCTTCTGAAGGACAAAGAAAAAAGTGAGCAACATCTCCAGGGAAAACTGAGAGAGTTAAAGGAATCTTTTGAGCAGAAGAAAAAACATAGTGAGACACTGCAAGCTGAATTAAAAACTGCCCTTTTAGAAAAGGTAAGACTATCCTCTCTTACTCCTATGAGAAAGTGATTGTAAATTTCTCTGATAAATACTGCAGTTTTTATGTCAATATCTTTCTGATAAACTGTGTTTGCTGTATTCTTGTTGGAAATGATAAGGTAAGGATGTGGAAATGAGGTCTTCAGATGCTGTTGCAGATAGAAACAGCAACATCAACAGCAGTAATAAAAAGAAACAATGCTGAAATATGAATTCCATAAGAATTGAATTTCAATAAAGTGATAAAATTAGCTAGATTGAATGTGGTTTTCTTGCTCTGGGAACACATATGGCAAGTGAGAACTGCCATTTTCTTGTAAAGCAGTAGAATTTTGTGAGAGTATTTTAGACAAACTCTGCAGTGTTTTAAAATGTCTGTGGCAGTTTAAACCAAGTCTTCTCCTATTATACAAAAAGAATTTATCTTGGTGACAGTATGAAACTCATGAACTACAATGGAAAGAGTTCAAATGTCTTACAACATTAGGGAACGTTGTGCTGTATGCTATACACTGTTAAATGTGGCTCCAGCTTTGGCTACCCTATGCTACATGGTCATATTTGTGCTTTAGGTAGCCTGTGGAAACATTAGGTCTTGGTGCTGTGGTTTGACCCCAGCCGTCAACTAAGCACCACAGAGCTGCTCGGTGACTCAGGAAGACAAATGTCATCACTCCAAATGTCCCTCCCCTTCCTTCTTCTTTCACCAGCTTCATATGCTGACTGTGATGCCATATGGTATGGAATATCCCTTTGGTCAGTGGGATCAGCTGTCCTGCCCCCTCCCAAATCCTTGTGCACCTCCAGACTCCTTGCTGGAGGGGTGGTGTGAGAAGCAGAAAAGGCTTTGGCTCTCTGTGAGCACTGCTTAGGAGTAGCTAAAACATCCCTGTGTTATCAACACCAGCACAAATCCAAAACACAGCATCATACTAGCTGCTGTGAAGAAAACTAACTCTACCTCAGCCAAAACCAGCACACTTGGAACATTATTAATTTTTAATGTTAGATCTCAATGTGTTTCACTTAGTCTTTTACAACAAATTAAATTTTGTTGTTAAATTAGTTAGGAAATATTACTGTAAAATCACAAATATCAGATTACCGAACTGCTATTTCATAAGAGGAAAAAGATTCTTATCTTGCAGTAGAAATGCAGTTTATCGAAATGTTTAAGCTGACTTTACTGTCTGTAACTTTAACTAAAACTTCCTATGCTTATGTTTCAGGCAGAACTGGAGAATAAACTACAACAGCAGTCTATTTTGTCAGCACAGGAACTTAAAGCAGAGAAAGGCAAGCTAGCAGACTTACAGAAGGCCCACGATAAACATAAAGAAAACATGGAGAAGCTGCAGCTGGATCTTTATGGGAAAGAGTCTGAGCTGCTGGCTACCAGGCAAGACCTTAAGGTACTTGCAGTCATTTTAATGTCATATGTGACTTAGTAGATGTTTATATCCATTTTGAAGAAACAATGCAGGAACTGAATAGGTGAAAAAAAATCTCTTCTGCTATATATAGATTTTAGTGCTGTTCATTCCCTTCCCCTGGGACAGAGGATATCCTGAAACTAATTGAAAGCCAAGCATATTTGCTAGTATACCTGAAATATCCTTGCATTTGTGCAAGGTGATTTAGTTTTATATACCTTTAAGAATTATTTTTTTATGTTGCTTTTTCTTGTTATATATTGTTGCTTTCAACTAATTTAAACAGTGTATCTAATTAGAGCAAGGTCTGCTGGCATGTGAGCAACTGCTATCTTCTAGATGATTTAATTAGAATATTCCTGGCTGATTATAGATGTTGAGAGATGTCAAACTGATACAAACAGTAGCTTTAGAGACCTTCCTGGAATACAAGTGTCTGAACTTAGTCCTTGGAGTTTTTGCTATTCCTAAACTGAAGTTACCTCGTTTTGTATTAGTGTGCAGTGCCTTCAAAGAGGTATTGCTGAGAGTTGAGCCAGTCAGCAAAGGTGTTTTTTGGCTTTTTTTTCTGGCCCTCTCCTTCATGTCAGTATTAAGCCAATGCTCCAGTTAGTCCCAGGACATACTGTGCTGCAGAGACTGGCTGTCTGCTGGCAAGATTCGTAGCTTTGGCACTTTTCACTCCAGATGAATCCCACTGCAACTTTGTCCATGAAGGCTCTTCTGAAGTTTATGGAGAGAAATAGATGCTTTGGGATGACAGATCATCTGATCTGCTTTAGATATTAGCTTCTGTTTGCTTTGTTATATATAAAGGGGCTTGTAGTGACTGCTTAGATTTCATTGTTGCCCGCTTTGATTTTATCGTTCCCTTTCCCCCAAAGGTGAGCCTTTCAGCCCCACCACTGAAACCCTTTAAGGTCTTGTGGCTGTTTCACCCGTGTGAGCTGTGGAGCTCTAGCCGAACTCCAGGCTTGGGTTATTTCAAGAAAAAGAGAAACGGCTCCTTTACATATAGGCCATTGCAGTTTTATTAGACTTACTGTAGTAAGTCTAATAATCTTACTGTAGTATTAGATTACCTGCCACATTTCCCTGCAGGTTATAGAAGCTTTATTTTCAGAGCAGCATGGTTCAATTGCAGTGTTAAATTGTGAAGAACTTCAGCATGATTAACAAGAAATGGTGGTTTAAACATACTATTCCTTTTGCTTTGTTACTATACCGTAAGTATGTCTGTGAGTTTATTTCCTACAATGCATTTAAATCAACATTTGGTAATGCAGTGACCCGTAGAAGCATTGGATGTGCTCAGTAACTAGGGGGTTTTTGGTGTTGTTTTTTTTTTGGTGTAGTTTTCAATGAAATATTGCAAAATAGTGATGCAAAAATAGCTCTGAATAAATATTATTATAGCAGCTTGATAACCTCTAATTCTGTCAAGTATAAAATAGGACAGTAAGCATCCCACATGCTTTTAAACCTCATGGGGATGGTAGCAAGAAAGAGAGAGAACATCTTTGCAAAAAGGTAAAATAAGGTGATGGCAATGGGGAAATGATGTTTAAGATGAGCAGTCAGGTAACTTGATTTATTATGTAAGTCTTTGTGCAGCCTAGAGATTTGGGTCCTAAGTACTCAAGTGCTGTATCAACTTGGAGGCTGTTTGCTTGATTTAAAAAGTGTTTTAAAAGCCATATGTTAATGAGGATTAGTGATGTTTGATTGCCACCACTTTTTTTTCTGGAAAATGTAGAAGAAGGAAAAGGTGGGGAATTGATCTTTAGTCATGGCTGTGCTGCCTCACTGCAATATTAAGCTAAAGAAGCAGTGATAACTTTTCTTAGAGGACTACAAAGGAAAAAGCACATTCAGACAGCCTCAGTGTAAAGGTGTTAGTCTTCATTGCTGAATATCAAAATGCTACTTAAATCAGAAGAACTTTATGGTAGAATTTCACAGTACTATTCAAAACGAGTTGTCTGCATGATGTTTTGCCTTCATCAGGTTACTTTCTAAAAGTAGCTCATTTGAGCCAGAGCTGTGTATTTTGATTGAAGTTTGGAATCAAAGCTGATGGGTGGGCTGGGCTGAGATTGGTTTTAATCTTCTTAGTAGGCAGTAGTAGAAGTTTTTAAAACTTGTCTCTATGTAGAGTTAACTTGGGAGTCTTTCAGTGCAGGATTTTTAGCAGAGCTACAGACTCCCTGCACAGCTGTATTGAGTCAGTACAGTCTGAAGCCCAGCATTGTCCAGAACAGACATGGCCAGGCCATATTGTGAGATCCCAGCAATGCTACGTTTTCTTTAGTTAAAAATACTAAAAGGGAAAACTTAAATATTCTCACGTGGCACAGCACCATGCTGTTGGCGAGGCCAAGGTTCCAGGCATGAGTATGGATTATGAAAAGATGTAAAGCGTGTGTGTGACAGGGGTAGGGTGGTCTGGTTCCTGGTTCCTAGGAGGGCATGGCAGGAATTGAGCTGTACACAGAGCACCATCTGCTGGCATCTGTTGGAAATATCACTGCTGGGATCGATGGCTCATCTCCGGCTGGGAGACGGAGGTGAGATTGAAAAGGGAGCAAACGCTTCGGGGAAGTTTTGCAGTTGGAGGTAACACCTTTGCATGAGAAAGAGCTGCAGAGCGGGTAGCTGCTCTCTGGAGTGCCATCAGCACGGCTGAGCCCGAGCTTCTGGTTCAGTAACAGAATGTCTGAGCTACGTAGCTCTAGCCAGATGCAAACTTTGAAGCTCTAAGTCCTTCAGAGGGAACAGGAGAAGTGTTGTAACAAAATCAGTAGTGGAATGTAGGTATACATATTACGTATGTATATTTTGTGGGTACTATTTGCTGCAGATTTCCTTTGGTTTAAAAATGTACTGTCTCTAACAGTAACTACACAAACATTTTTTGTCTTTGTGACTGGAAACAGAAATTGGATAGGATTTGAGTGGTAGTAAAAGATATAGTTTTCAATAAAAAAGGACACGTATAATTAAAAAAGAACATCACTAAATAAGTTTTTTATATAGATACACATATTTATACAAATATATATGTGTATATAGACACACAAAATACTTCTTTTATGAAAAAGGCATTTTTTATATAGAAGAGTTAATTAAAATGTGGTAACTGTTATTTTTGCCTTGATTTTGAGTCAGTACAAGGATACTTTCTGTGAATCTGATCTGCTGAGCTTTGCCAAGTATCCTTGAGTCTTGCCATTTGTTCTTTTTGTAGTCAGACCCGGTTTCTTCCATGTTCTCAAAAGAATGTGTCTTTGTCTCCAGTACTGGCATTGCTGTCAGTATATATTTAGTGAACATTCTGGAAAAAAGATTCATGCTGCCAAACCTCAGGTGTGTTAGTAAGGAGCCTAAGTCATGTTTGCATACAGTCAAACTCTTCTTCTTAGGAAGTGAAGAGAGATCAGGTTAGCATCTGTGAATAACTTAATGTCTGTCCTTGTGAACTAGGATCAGGGAGCACGCAGACTCAAACTCTCATTTGTGCACTTCATATAGGCGGACTCTGGGTCCTTCCACCCCACTAGAACCAGTTCTGATGTTGCCACTATGATTTGCACTGTTACAGCCCAAGTTATAGTGAATCAGACTGTGATATTTCCTTATATTTTTCTTTATTTAAACTCTATACCAGTCAATCTAGCATTTTTATTTATTTACAAAAACAAGCACTGATTGATCTCTTTTGTTCTGTACCTGTTCCTCGTCTATAGGTATAGGTATTATGTCTATACCTTGCCTAGGTATAGACATAATGAGATAACCTGTCCACTGTAGACACTTTGCAGGGGTGGGTTGAGAGAGAAATACCCCCTATGTGAGGCTTTTAATTTGAGTGTCGCTATCCGCTCCATCCAATTTCATCATCTGGTGCTAGCAAATTGAATGTAACCGCATTTCTTCTGCTGGAAACAAATTTGAATAAAAGCTGTGGCTTTATTATGTTTCTTTCTAAAACTGCAGAAACTGTTGGGTTTTCCTGTGAAGACATTATATGATGATGCTAGACTTCCTATACTTTCTCAATGTTAGGAAAATATGTTATTCCACTGCCCACAGTGGAGGAAAGGGGTAATTTTGCTTTCTGAAAGACCCATCCTGCTGAAACCTTGAAACTGCAAAAGTACCTCGTATTTTGCTTACAAAAAATTATGAGTCAACACCTTGCAAAATGTTAAGTAGTGAACTGTAATAGCTCAGAAAGAAAATAATTTGTCTGCAAATTAATTTTAAAAGCCACTGTGAGCTTTTTAAGAGCCAGGGGTGTTGTTGAAAATGCTGTTGAATCAGCAGTGTTCCATCATTGCTGTTTCAAACTAAGTCTGATTGTACAGGCAAAATACTTTAGATATTACAAGGGAGGGTCATGAGGCATCAGAAATCAATTAGTTTTTAAATCAACATGGGAGTAGCTAAAGCATATGCATAATTGAATGAATTCAAAGTTCTGCTTATAGTTCCTCTTAAAATCACTAACCTTCAACAAAAGGTTTGAACAAGATTTAAGTAAGAGCTTCAAAAAGAATTGTGTTTATCTTGAAAGAATTTAAATCCTTACTGCTGCACTGAAAACAATAAACTTGTTATTAATAATAAATCTCTTCAGCTCACATTCTGTATCTTAGCATCAAAAATTTCCACAAAATACAAATATTTTGGAGGAGTGGAGGATGAGTTTGTTTGTTGTTTTGGGATTTTTTTTCCATTGGTTCTGTGGGAAGAAAAACTCTACTAAGTGGAGCTAGTCTTTACCTAAGATAGAAAGTTTAGAAAAATAAGCACCATAATACTAACTCAAGAAGAACCCCAAAGCTTGACTTTGCTGTGAACAAATAGAATGAGCTTTGCCTTTGGGTTCAAGTTTTGGGTTGTTTCTTGGGATTTTGTGACCTGTTTCAGAGAGATAAATCTTGAGTTCTTTTTCTAGGTAATGGAGAAAGTTGAAGGCAAATGAACATATAATCTGTAGATTTTGAATGGAAGTTTAAATTTCATGTTTAAAATGCTGATACAGCTGAAACTGTGAAGCCTTTTTTCCTGACATTAGCATTTTTACCTTGTGTATTTTATTTCAGGATTTTCAAAAATTTTACAATTGTCCTAACACTTTATTAAGTCATTGGTAAAAAATAGTAGTGAATTACTTTTGAAATTTTCACCCTGTAGCTTCACTGCTTGTTAAGTAACAGCTGCCTAGAGTATAGAATAGTTGATTTGCCTAGATAATAAGATAAATTTGTGTGAGCAAGTTCAAGTTCACTCTCTTTTTATCAGTCACCTTTTGTTCTCTGCCCTTCTGCACGTTTTCACCTTTTCTCTGTGGAAGGGCGCAAGCTGGAATATGTATTGTAAGGCATTGCTCCTGGAAATGATGCTGGGATAATTTCTTTTTACTTAGGGTAACCTTGTAAACTAGAAGTTTCTGTAATCATGCTTTGTCAACATTTGAAGCTAAATCTTGCACTCTAAGTAGTAATTTTTTCACCTGGAAAATGTTTAAGTGGCTGTTTAGTATCTGAAGCTCTTATACTGACAGATAATTTGCAGAACTCTCTTTGTAATTAGTCCACAGAAGAAAAACTTGCTCTCGCTCAAGAAGAATTAGTTTCCAGCAGAAATCGAATTGCTAGCAATAATCAGCAGATTCAGGAACTGAAGAAAGCAAAGTCTACGCTAGAGCAGGATGCATCAAAGAAGGAGCAGCAGCTGGGTGAGAAGACCAAAATGTTACAGGATCTTCAGAATGACAGGGTAAATGCCTCTGTCTTTTGAAATCTTCACACAGGCACATCCATCCCATGAAGACACCCTTTATTATTTTCTATTACATCTTTAATTTGAGAGCATAACACTGTTGTAGTGCATAGCAATGACAGTTTTACTGAACCTCTGGTGAAAAGACTTTTAATAGACTGTTGTAGTGAAATTGGTTCAAAATAGGCTGCTAATTTGTTCTAAGTGGTCAGGCAGGTGGGAAAATATTATTAGTTCTAAATCTAAAACTGCAAATATGCTGCTAATTGCTCTACAAACTGTGGATAGATATGTGGCAGTCCTTTCCTTATAATAACAAAACCACCAAGTAGGTTTTGGGCCCTGGATGTTTTTTGATTCATTGGTGTTTTTTTTATTTTGTGAACTTGGAAGAAGTAACTTTTCTACCATTTTTTATTTCTATTCAAGACTTTGAAAGAAAAAGATTTGGCTAATGAAAAATGTAAAACAACAGAGCTCCAGGAAATAAGGAGTAGACTTGAAAAAGAAATTGCCAAGCTGGGTGAAGAGCTTAGAGCCTGCAAGCAAGAATTTCAGAAGGTACATTGAGACAAACTGAGTCTTCTTCATGTGTTTGGTTATCTTATGAGAAATATGTGCCTACTCAGTAGATGTTATCTGGAATGGCTTTGCAAAGGTGGTTGCTGTAAATATCGGTATTACAGGTAAGGGAACCAAAGCAGAGATTTCATTGAGGTTCCTCAGCAATGACGTCTTGGTTAGTGATAATCCTTGAGCACCGGTGCGCAGTGGGCCAGGTGGAGCACATAACTTGTCTTAGCTTCAGGATGGATTTTATGTCCTGGCTTTTCTTCAGTTTCACTGTAAATCCACTTTGCGTAGCCTTGCTTGACTATTCTGAAATGAAAAAAAGATGTCCAAAAGAGTCACGACTGTGAAGTTTTCCAGATATTCTAGGCACATCTGGTACTTCTCAAGGATGTGTGGTAGAGTTGAAACTCCCCTAATGTGCTGTGGTTTCTTAAAATGTCCTAAAAAGTCACAGTTGGGGAAGAAACAATGTCAGAAGCCTCACAAAAGACAAACTTCCAAAATCACAACAATCAAATGAGCTCTGTAAAGGGTAGAAGTTGGGTGGCTTTAATTAAATAATTTTTAGTCTCCAGTAACATGAATTGTTTCTTGCCACAGAAACAATTTTTTAGTCTCTGTAGAAACAAACACTCCTAAAAGGCTGTAGTTTGTAGTTTTCATAATATAGTATTAGTAGTTATATTTGCATCTGTTAAGTACACAGAGTTTAAACTGCTGCACAAGTATAAACGTAGGTATATTCCCTATGCACTAATAAAAATAAAATAACATGATAACTTGTGAGTTTCAGATGTTCTTTTGTTCTCCACTGTTTAGAAAATGGTCTCTTATTTTTAGATAGTTTGTACTTTGTTTCTCTCAAGTGATCTGTGCTTGGGGAAAGGTATTCTAGTTCTTGTCATTCCTAAAATCTCTATTCTAAAGAAGAAATTTTATAAAGCTGTATATAAAATGTGTGCACACCAATGACAGCTTAATAGTAATTTCTTAATCTCCCTACAAGCAATCAGACTGAAACAGTAATTATCTCCTAAAGACTTATATTCTGTTTCCCATCTCCTACCAAGGAATGGATGTATATGTATCTGTATCTGTAGGGCATCCCCTTGTTCTGGGGATATGTTCTCTTCTCTGGCTTTAGTTTGGTTTTAATTTGTGTTGTGAATTTTGATTTATGGAAAACTGTCCACCCTTGTTAGTCTGTTAGTACCTACATGCTTGGCTATGTAATTTTAAGGAAAATAATTTCTATAAATTTAACTAACTATTCTATTTCAGGATTTTTTGTGTTCAGTTACAGAGGAACAAGTAAAACCATTATTTAAAACCAAGCATGTCATCCTGCTTGCTTGAAACATAGAGTAATTTTTTATATATTTAGGACTAACAGAAAAAACTTTCTTCCATCAGCATTTGGTTTTACATTGTCATTATGATGTTTTTAACCTCATTATTGCAACCAGAGAACAACGTGAAGTAAATTTTAGAACAGTCCCTAGAAAATGAAAATGGATGCGTCTCTTCAAAGAACTGCAGAAAACAATTCAGCAGATCTTCCTCTCTACTTTAGTAGAAACTTGCATTAAAATTATTTTAAGAAAAGGAATGTTGATCCTAATATTGGTATAAGTTTAAAATCTTTGATCATGAAAATCACTGATACCTTGTTATATAAAATCATCCTTTCTTCCGGTGATAAAACTAAAAATTATTGCTGTCCTCTCCTAGGAAAGGTTTGCAGTAGTTTTAAATTTAAATCCATTTATACTTTCTGTGTTGCTACTTTAGCGTTAAACTCTGTATCCTAACAGGAGGTGACAAATCTCAAGGATGCAAACCAGCTATTGATTCAACAGAAATTAGAACTGCAGGGCAAAATAGATAGTATGAATTCAAGTCTGGAACAGGAGAGAAAAACCCAACAAGCTGTCAAAGATGAGCTGAAAAAGAGAGAAGAGGAACTGAAGAAAGAATGTGCTGAAATTGAAGCCAAACTGGTTAGTATGTTAGAGAATATAAGACTGTTGTTTTGTGAACATGCCTTTGGATTCTTCCAGGGACAGAAATGAAGCAATGGGTTGACTTTAGTTTCACATTACATTAAGTTTTAAATGACAAGATCAAAAATCTTTAAGGCATTTATAATGGTGTAGGAAAATTCAGTGAGATGACAGCCTTGTCAGTAGAGTTTGTTGAATAAAAACAGTGATTCTATTACAATAAGATTTTTTGCCTCAATTAAATGTAGGGAATAGGGAAAGAATGCTTGGAAGCTTGTTTTTCATTTTTCTGCTGTTTTCATAGCACACAGAGAAAAAAGAAAAAGAAGCAGAAAAACGGAAACATGAGGAAAAGGAGACCAAGCTCACCATGCAGGTCACAGCCCTGAATGAAAACCTGGCTACTATGAAGAAAGAGTGGCAAAGCAGTCAGAGGCGAGTGAGCGAGCTGGAGAAACAGACAGATGATTTACGTGGGGACATTGCTGTCTTGGAAGCAACAGTGCAGAATAATCAGGATGAGAGAAGAGCATTGCTGGAGAGGTAAGCTGTGGTCATGACAATGTGGCAGCATAGTTTGAGAAATGGATAGCCTCACACTGAAAACTTGTTTCACTTGATTCGGGATTCTCTGTGCATACTTTATTTAAACCCGTGTTTGTTCTTATTGCCTGCGCTGTGGGTGCAGTTTCCAGAGTGCAACCTTCTGTTCCTACCAAAGCACAGCAAAGGGTGTTGGCAACAAACTATGCTCTTTGTGGGCACCCTGTCAAAGGGTGATCATTCTGTAGAAAATAAGGCAGGTTATTGAGATCTTACTGATCACCAAAGCCACAGCTCTGTGCTTGTGCTCAAAGATTTATGCCTATCCGTAAAAGCCTTCTAAATCCATTTGGCTCTTCCTAGTTTTCAGGTATGTATGTTGTGGCTTCTCATCTGACCTGTTGTGTGAACCTTGAGAGGCATGACAGAGAGAACTTCTCTTACCTGAATTAAGTATCCATCTCCATTACCCTGAGGCTCCCATGCCTTGATTCAATTAGAATAGATGCACTAGTCATCCAGAAGCCTGGAGGAGAGACCCCTTAATACCTTCAGTAACAGAATTTGCATAGGAACTTCTAGGTGTACCCACTACTCAATGTTAGGAGACTGAACGTGTAATTGGATTACATAGGCTAAGGTTCACAAAGAAGGCATTTTCTTCCTCCTAAAAATCAACAGTCTTATTTTCTCCAGTTCTGCTATTGTCTCTACAATATATTTAAATCTTCAGGAAGCAGGAGGCATGAAAGGTTGTGGAAGTTACCTGAATGCAACGATTACCAGGGTAGAAGGAACACCTGTGAGACAGAAAACTTTTTTCATCCTTATTTCCTGACGTGTTTGGTGAAGTCAGGGTGGAAAACTTTTATTGGTACTGTCAAGCTTGCTGATTTGTTTTTTGAGCAGAGACCTTGGGAAAGGATGGGATCAGTTCAAGTGAGATCCTCTTTCTTTGGCAATCCCTTGCTGTACTGTGCTGAACTCATCCCGTAGCCATTTACAGCTTGGCAGAAAAACACCCATTGAAATTTGGCTTTCAACAGTTAACTGAATTTCAGCTGATGGGAGGTGGTCTTACTAAAAGAGGGTGATTTCTTTTCTGCTTTGTTGTTTGACCTGATCTGCAGCAGGTGGTTTGTGAGATTGTCCTGTTGCACGGGAGTATTTATCGGGACTTGCTGTTGATGGACTGCATTCAGCATTGTCCCTTTTTGGTTTTGGGAATAACTCCAGGTATTAATAAGCTGCAGATACTTAGGAGCAATGTCAGATAAACTGATTGTTACAACAGAACATTTTTCTAGTCAAGGCATCCAAGAACTTTTCACAGCAAGGATTTTTTGGGCTGAATTTTATGGGAGTAAATTCTCAGACATGACAACCTGCCCAAAGGAGGCAGTGTACGTAGCCTTAAATGCTTTGCACTGAGTAATTGTTTTTCTGCAGGTGTATAAAAAGTGAGGGAGAAATTGAAAAGCTTCAAGCCAAACTCGTAGAAATGAAGAAAAAGCTGGACAACACAACTGCTGCAATGCAGGAACTTGGCCGAGAAAACCAGTCATTACAGGTATAATTTGATTTGTAGCTATTAAACCTGTTGATTCTCTGTTTGGGAACTTATGAGAATTTCAAATTTGTGTCAGATTGGTAGTGAGTTACCTTTCTAGAGTGAATTAAGATGTTACATTTGTAGTGTATGAGGGCCATCCTGCTGTCTGTGGGTTCTTAAATCTGCTTATAGTTCTGAAACTTGGAAGGTTTTCTTTCTGAACAAATATAAGCTCTGAGTATCATGACAGAATTGGTGCTTTTATACTGCAGTGGGTAGTGCATGCTGTGGAAATAGAGGGTATTAGTGGGAATTAGACATGCATTAAAAGAAAAATGCTGCTTTTTTACATCTGTTTAGATCAAACACACCCAAGCTCTCAACAGAAAGTGGGCAGAAGACAATGAGGTACAGAATTGTATGGCCTGTGGAAAAGGCTTTTCGGTGACAGTGAGAAGGGTAGGTGTGTTTTACTTTGTGTCTGTGGGGATTTTCTATTTCTGTTGTTTTCAAACTCTTAGATGGGATGCAAACTTCAGAAAATAGTGCTGCGATGAGACATCTCAGAATACATTTATTGTTTGCAGTGCCTTAATGTATTAAAAATAAAGGCTGTGGAGCTTACTTTATTCATGATTCTTTTTCCATTTTAACAGCATCAGTTTATAAACAGTGTTAAAATATATCAATCCCCTGAGCAAGCAAGCAAGCAAAATTACACTGTTGTAAGGGTATTTACAGAAAACATATTTATAACCAGTCTGATCTAGATTTACGGGTATAAAAGTAGTGCAAATTGTTTGAAATTAGGTATGTGTGAAAATAGAGATATCACCATCATCTGGTGCTCTGTGACTATATAAACACTAACTTGACATGGAACAGAAGAAACAACTGAATGTGTTTTAGGTCTGCAGTCAGACCCTCTTTGTAAAAACAGTTGTGGTCAGCTAAGATGTTAGCATCCCTCAACTGGCCGGATCTGCCCTTCTTCCAGAGATTACCATCCCTTCAACAAGACTTGGCAATGAAGTAGGCAACGGGTATTTGTGAGGTTCATTTTGCAGAGCTTCCTGACTTAGTCTTAGATGACTCCCCTGACCTGTGTTAATTTGATGATGTTCTTTGGGTAGTCTTTGAACAAAGGCTGCTGCATCCTTTGATTCAAGGATACTTCTCAATGTGAAAGCCAGTAGTTAGTTATATGTGTAAGAAGAACATATTTTATGTTGAAGAGGACAAATTCAAGAGGAGGATGAACCTCAACCACTTAATTTCTGAAGCTGATATATTCTCTTGACTCAGTGAAGCACATCTGAATATTTTACTCCTATACCCTTTAGAAAGGATTTACTTACATGCCCTTCTGTGTGCTATGTAACTACTATTTGAAAGTTCATACTAATTTTTGAAACATGAGAGTTGACTTGTCATGATCAGTGCCCTGTCATTGATGTTCAACATGTATGTTTCTTCTCTTTCACAGCATCACTGTAGACAGTGTGGAAATATCTTTTGTGCCGAGTGCTCAGCAAAGAATGCCTTAACTCCTTCTTCTAAGAAGCCTGTCCGAGTGTGTGATACTTGCTTTAATGACTTGCAAGGCTAACTGGCGATTGTGAGTGACAAAGAAATGTTACACTAAAATTTACTATTTCTGTTGATGCACTTCGTTCAGCACTCAGACTACTATTCAGTTTGGACAACGATTGTAACACTTGGCAAGATTTAGCATATTTTAAAATGTTTATTGATACCAAGCAAAACTATTGTATTTTTTGTGAGATATGGGCTCAGATCATCCATAGCTTATTGCCATTTATCATGGAAAGAGCTTTTATGTCTAGATTAGAAATACCCAGTTATTTGTAAATAAAGTTTAAACAGAGGAGTAACAATGTATTTTTTTATCTTTTATTTTTTTGTTCAAGAGAAACAACGTTTATTGCGATATTGAAGTTTATTCTTGTTTCTTCAAAGAAAAAGGAAGATGCAAAAACTTGTGAGGATTTTATGTATCAGATGTTGCTGTAAAAGCATAACTAATTGTTGCATTTGATTGCATATCTGATGTTCTTTATAACCTCTTGTGATTTTGTTTTCTTTCTATCTCTCTGATTCTTGCATTTTTCTCTCTAAAGTTTGAACTCCAGAGTGAGCATAATGGCTGGATTCAACTTCAGCTCAGTTTTATTTGCCCACTTGTAGTATCAGCACCCAAGTGCTCATCCAAATACTACACTTGTGTACTGGAACATCTTTACATATGCTGTATTATGTAGTTGGTGTGTGAGTGTGTCTGTCTTGCTGAGAGAGAGTATGTGTGAACAAATGATGAGGCAAAGTTTATCTGGCATTGTAGCAATATTACATGGTACATTACAATATTTCATCCCATTGATTGATTTCACTTTTACCTATTTGGTTGACGAATTTTGATATTCCAGAAACCACAGTTTTAAAAAGCAAACAAACAATACTGGTAGTAGCCTGTAGCACACCTCTGCTCCTGCCCATACCCTGAAAGCACTGAGAGATCCCTGCAGTTCTAAGGGACACCCAGACCTTCCAAGCCAGGTATCCCACTAAGAAAAAGTCTTTTTTGAGACTGCTACAGGTCACCTGACCTTTTATTCTGTCCCTTCCCTCAGCTTTTGGTGGAAGAAGCTGAACTCCTGCTACACTTAACAAATGTTACTATTCCATTACTCCATCTGACCCCCATTACTGGGGCTCTGAAGTGTGATGTTAGTTATGTGATTTAGTCTGCTTGGAATGGTGGTATGAATCTCCTGCTACTGGCTTCATTATAAGCCAAACAGCTCTAACTAAGAGGCCAATATACATGTCTTTTGATACTTATTCGTATTTTCTGCACTTGCAACAGAGGTTTCTTGTACAGTTCATGTAGGCTCCAAACTTCTGTTTTGTTGTGATTTTGTTTGCACCTCTTTGTTTTTGCCTGCCTGTTTCTAACTTTTCTTCCCTTTGTATTTGGTATTTCAAAATCCTTAAGGTTATTTCTTCCGAGCAGGGACTATGCCTTCCAGTATTTAGGGACTCTTTGTCTTAAATACCCTAATACCAAATTTTGCCAGCTGTTCAGAGAAAAGGGTTGTGTTCTGAATTCCTCTACTTCTTGCCCGAGGTAGAGAATGAAATTCTGTCACACTGATGGAAGCTTAGCCATCATCAGGAAGATTTGTTTGCTTTTATCTATTGACAGCTCTATATGTGAATGAAGAAGAGTCTCCTTTATGAAAAATATCTTGTCCTGATTAACTCAAGTGAAGAAACTTCTTAATCCCTCTACTCCAGAAGTAGTGGTCTATATGTTTCATATCCCTTCTTAACTGTCTAGTTCTACATTTGCAGCTTCAAGGAGTTTTCTTAAAATTAAATCCTTATTTCCCAAAAGCCAACTGAATGATATAACTGGTTTTCCTCACTGTAAAAGGGTTTGGGATACAACTGTGCATTATGCGAAATACTTACATGCTTTTTTGGTTTGCACTTGAGAATTGCTTGCTCAAAAAAAAAATAATGCTGCAACAGTTCCATATGAACAGAGCCTCTGGACTCCCTGTTTCTCCTCATCAGTGTAACTGTTTGGCATAAGAATTTTTTGAATAGAAAATATAAACAGAATCTCTGCCTCTGGGAAATTTAGGGTTTTTTATTTATTTATTGAGAGCAACCGAAAAATTTGCTATGGAGTCTTTTTTGTCTGACACAGGACTTTAGAAATGTGGGAAAATGAAAGATGTGACAATTGTGCTCCAGCCTAGATGCATTCTGCCCTATTGTGTAACACACAGGGTCTCATGCTGCCCTCAGGGTGAAGGACACCACAGGGATTTTGAGAGGGAAGGGAGAAAGTTCCCACAGCTGCAGAGGAAGATGGAAATCTTTCAGGGGGAGCTAAGAAAATGGTTAAAAGACTCACTCATGTTTAGGCATTTTGCTTTGGAATGGGAATGTGTGAAAGCTCAGGAGAGACTTCTGCAGTGGTAGAAGCTCTAGTAATGTTGTTCTTAATTTAGCCTTTTGGAATCCCACTGTGTAATGAGGAGAGGCACCTCACTCAACAGGCTGCTGAAACACTGCAGTTGTTTTACTGCAGATCACACCTTGGTCTGGAGCTCTTCACATTCAGGGACAAAACCAGCTCAATTTCTGAAAGTTGCTTTCAACTGCCTGGTTTATACGACCACCTTTTCAAGGGGATGGAAGTGCTTTTCAAACATGCATTTTTAGAAGGAGGTATTGTTAATATCTGGAGGAATAGTGGTGGGGTGTAAACTTTTCTGCCTGAGCATTGAGTCTGCAGCAATAGGTCAGGATTTCTACAGCTTTTCACTGTAGTAAATTTATGACTCTATTGTGGAATCTTATACTCCTTTTGTGCTGAAAATTTTTAGTGCTGGTTTGTATTTGTCGAGGAGCGTATGGTATGCTAGACCCTGTAATGATTGGCTTCACTGCCAGGTTGGAAGTTGTGCTCAAGCTCAGTAAAATGTCCCATAATAAGGGAAACTGGAAAGTGAAAAGCTTTGTATTTACAAATCTGCCTACAGACTCTGACTGTTATGATGGGCATGTTTCAATAGCAATGTAGGATTTTTGTTTCACTGCTTTAAAATCTAAGTAATAGGAAACCCTAGTAAAAAACCTGGTAACTTTTACAATGCTAAGTCAAAGGATTCCAGACAAAATAGTTTAGTGTACTGACTTTTCAGACCACAGACACAGGAACAGAGGGAAAAACTAATAAAATGGCAGAAGAGACTAGAGTCTTGGAACTGGAAGAAGCACGGTGATGTGTTTTCACAGCCTCTAGTAAGAGGCAGATTGCTCTGATTCACATAGGAATGGCCATTATAGAGGAAGAGGTGAAAATAATGGTAAAATCAGCACTCAAACCAGTAGGTGTGTGGGTTCCTCAAGCTGCCTTTGGTTACTAGTTATTACCATGGCATCAGGAATGGGACAGTGAAATGTGGGCTTTGTTCTTGAAACTATCTCCTCTTCAGGACACTCCATCCACATTCAGAATTTCTGGGAGAGCAGAATATGACAGACTAGCTGCTGTCTTGATAAGGGTGGGGAGAGGTTCTTTAACTTCCTTGAGACATCACCTGTCTTCCCAGTCAAAGACCCGCAGTCCCTTGCATGTTTTCCTCCAAAATGTCAAATCTCACTGTTCCACTCTGTCCTCGTGTCAGCAATACATCATACTTCTGTCTTGCAGCCCCTCTAGAGGCAGGTAGGATTGCAGAGGTCAGTGCCAGGCTTTTGATCTTAGATGGCTGTGCTTCTCTGTTATTTATTTCTTCTCCCCCCGTATTCTCTGCAGTAATCTTCCCCCTTCTGCAAAGGTTGAATAAAGAGGATAAAATTAGTGAGTCACAGTAGGAAAAGTTGCTGTCTGCAGATGAAGAGACAAAAGGAATTTTCTGCTGGAGCTTCCAACAGAGGCAAGAGGTTTACAGGGATCTCGTTTTTCAGCTGGCTTCACTGTCTGGCACAAGAATCCAAGGCTCTAGGGTACTGCGTGGGTTTTTTTCCTCTGTTTTTGGAAGGTGTCAAGTAACCAAGTTGCCATGGAGTGTGGAGTGCTAGGTGCACAAGAACAATGAATAACTACTTTTGTTGGCTTTGAGACCTTGAGGATTATTTGTGAATCCTCACTGGAAAAGCTTTCTTAGTGGAGCAAGAAGGGATTTGGGAGCAGAAGCATGAAGTATTCTGTGTTTGTATTACATGAGCAAGAACAATTGAGCCTCTCATGCTAGGTGTAAGAGAAATAACATTCCTAAAGAAGGGATCTGGAAAACTCGGGTACTTTTCTGGATTGTTAAATATCAGTTAACCACAAAGTGGGAACAAATGCTTGTTGCAAAACTTTAAAAATTTATGGTCAGTGCTCAGTGATGGACAGAAAAATGCTGGAACTGAAGTTTAACGGAATATAAACTATGCCAAGAAGAATGATATCATGGTTTGAGTATGTTGAAACTGATAAATTACTCCTCCAAGTACCACCCTTCCTGCTGTCATATTCTCGCAGGACTAGGAAACAGCACTGTCATTTGCACTGTGCACTTTTTGCTGTCTAACTAATAGGATCTACAGTAAGTGGAATGGCATAATTTGCATTGCATCTATTAGCTGTAGTCATTGGACAGAAGGTTTATCATTAGCTGGATTTTTCACTGTATACATTTGGTCCCTTGCTATGTAAGGAGAATTGTACTCACAATTCCTTTTACCAAAAACACAATCATCATCTGAGAGCACATGTAACAGCAAAAGCCATGTTAGTCACATACATGTGGTCTTTGTAGAACTTAATTTTAAGATTATAAAATGAGAAAAAATGAATTTTTTGTATATTCAAGGATCTTGCCAGTTGTCCAGTTCTTAGCTTCTGAAGTCTTGGCCTCATCATCCCTTCTAGGATAAGTTTAAAATTATTGTCCAACCACAGCCTCTCCAAAAGCACTAAATGATGTACTTTTCAAAACCAACTATAACTGGATAATAAACTCCCACCACAGAAACTCAGTTTCGGAGGTATTTTTCTGTTTCTGTTTTTAAGGGGCACTGAATAAAGACATTTGCATGTTTAGAGAGAATATTAGATACCATTTAAGTTCACAATAAGGAAGACTATAGGTACTGGGTAATGTAATAAACTCTACCTATTGCCTGTAGCTCTCCACGTACTATGCACTCACTGTGCAGCAGATCGAGAAGTATCTGCGCATTTGAACATTACTTGAGCCCTGCTAACCCTTTGGATTCATGTTACTATGAAAGCAGAAGCCTGGTGTTTTCCAATTTTCCCTCCCCCTATGGCCTAAACTAAACACTAAACCCAAATTCATCTGTATGTCTTATCTTTTTTGGGTAAAGAGGGCTGGGGAAAAGTGTTCATTGTTATATGTCAATATGCTGGTACTGGCAGGTCCAGGCTACTGCTGTTGGCTTTATGGCAAAGTCCTCAATTGTGTCACGCTAAAGCTTCATTCCTGGCACAAAAGGGATGTTTGAAAGAACGTCTCGTTGGGTTAGGAAATACCAGAACTTTTTATAGTAATATGTCCAAAATGCTGCTTGTATAGGAATTGTCACTTTTCTAAGAAAAGAAAAAAAGTCACAAAAAAATCATAAAACCTCCCCATTTGATGCCATTACATAAGATTTCATTTAAGCTACCTCTCAGTGTGAAATTCAAACATTAGGTAAGTTTAATAAGGTTTTCTCACTGTTATAGTTATAGTGAATAAAGTTATAGTGAATGCCAAAATTGCAAAAGTTTACCACCAAAAAGGAAAAGAAAGTTGTCTTTTTTTTTAATGTGTGTTTGAAAGTATCCAACATTTTCAAGTTATTATACACTCTGTTATATTTTTTTAACTTCTGTAGTTTCAACCTTGCGAACTCTAGCTGCTGAACAGAAAATAAATCACAGGCTTTCATAATTGCAGTCTGCTGGGTAAAAACAATTTTGTATGCAGCTTTGTCATTTGGATATAGATAGCCTCGGTCACCAAATGTACCATTAATTTGGTTGTCTTTTTCTTCAGTACTCGAGATATGAACTTGATGAATGGTATTCTGTAATGGATGTGTGCCACAAAGTACATGGTCTCATTTACCTTTTCTGAATTTTAATGATCAATTTATTATTGCAGATGTGAATATTGTTCATACATCTTAATTTCTGTATAATTGTATAAAATATAAATGGAAAAAATTATAAGTTTTTATCCCGTATTTAGAAATATTGTATAATAATAGACTTATGTTGCCATTTTACTTACAGAGTACTGTACTTCTTTTAAACTGGATCATATCATCTTGATAGGTGTAGATGGATTTTTTTTGCATGTGTGTGTTTTGGTTTTCTTTCTTTTTAATTGAAGTTTGAGTCTCTTAAGTTCTGTGTTCAGTGTTTGTGTTTACTACTTGTGATCATGTAGTTGTGCCTTACATTGTGAAAGAATTTAGTCCAGTGTGCACTATAATTCTTAAACTCTGTGATTCAGAAGATGGCTGTGGATTTGGATGAGAAGATGACACCACGCATCAACCGGTTCTGTATAAATGATAACGAAATGTTACTGAAATGTCATTTTTGTTTTCTAACCTGTTGAAGGAATTATTAATAACAATAAAAAAAATTAGACCTTTCTAATAGACCAGTTATATCATTCAAAACTACCTTGCCCCATTTCAGGCAGCAAAGCTACTTTGAAATGGGGAATATATAGTTTTTACAAATGAACTGTTGGGAAGCTACACATCTAAGAACAAGCTAAACACTCCAGTTTCTTGGACTTAGGGGGAGCTGCAACAAAGGCTTTCACATTCCTGAGGACAGAGCCATAATGACTGTTTTTCAAATCTGTTTTTTTCACAGGTTAAATTCAGAGTAGGCTTTCCATTCCCAGTAGCTGTACAAGGCTGCTGGGTATCCCACATTCAATTGAAGTCCTTCTGCCAGTGACTGTGTTCAGGCATCACATTCAGTTGGACAACTGGCATAACTGGAAGACTCAAAAGTAGCACTTGTTTTATTTTTTAGACTAATGAAAGTCTTACTTGTGAGATGGAAAGCTTCTTTGGGGTGGAACTGTGTTGCAGAGAGAAACCAGGT